ATATAGTCTACCTATTATGTCATTGCTTCATCAGTGTTATCATAAGTGTTTTCAGATTCAGTTTTGCAGTCTCACCCAGAAACAAGACATGAGCATTCTGAAAACTGCTGATGGTGTGGTGGGTCGGTGGATAACAAACTTATTTTCAAGGGCTGCTTTTTGTTTTTTGGCACTGGCGGTCAGGTCAGGAACTCCATCCTGTTGAATGACAAGTTGGCTCTTCTCACTGGCATGAGCAGGAGCCATTCTCCAGATCATTAACCCGAAGGAAGACATTTGTCAGCTTTGCGCCACTGAACTGGAATCAAAGGGGATAAATAATGGTTGGTACTGCAGGGCTTTTACGACGGTGAAACCTACCATGATGCAGTATTTCTGTCTGCTGCCATAGCAGGTGTTATCCTTAGTGTAGGGGTAAGTGGATATTAATGAGAGATGGATACAAAAATGGAGAGAGTGGAATTTTGGAATGAAAGAGAAACTAGGTAAAAAGGACCTACAAGCATTTACTAGTATCTCATCAGAATCTCAGAAACACATCAACTCTTACTACAAATGCTTTTTAAATTGAGAAATCTTGTTAGACTGAATGTGAGCAGCCATTTTTATAATTAATTCCGATATTTATAATTTATGAAAGACACGTATATGAGAAGAGAACACAGGAAATGAGGCACAGAGGGGATGAAGACAGTGGGATTCACTCAATGGTTCTGTCTTCTGCCAGTTTGCTTTTCCTTCTGAGGTTGATCCTATTTCTTAATCTCCATAGAATTGCTTGTTTTTCCTGCTTGCCCACCAGGCTTTGATTTTACCATTAAAAATTAGCCTGTTGGAAACTTGATTTTTGTCTTCCTGAGAAGCCTACCACAGATCATAGAACTGTGAAAATGTGAGTTGTTTTCCTATCATAATTATTATTAAGTTTATAAAAAGGCACTTCAGAAAGAATTCTGCTAAGATCTGCTCCACTCTCCTTTCCTTCCCTTGTCTGAACTACATTCCCTGCCATTCAATTTAATATGATGTTTCTGGGCTCCCTGGAAGTAAGTTGTACAGAGTGAATTCTTTCTCTGTCAGAAGCCTACTACTAAATTGATACAGCATTATTATAAACACTGTTTGCTGCTGTCACACACTCTTCAGGGGTAGTTTCAATTTTGTGTGATTTCACAGTGGCTTTCAGTGAGTTGCTACAAATGGACGAGATCATTTACTGTTTTCCACTTTACTACTAACAGTACAAATGCTTGACTGCCTTATTTTAGACATCGTATTAAAAACTGAATCATTTTGATGGAATACGTGTCACAATCGCTGTTAATCCCACCTGCTAAAAAACAAAATGTTCGTTCTTCATATTTTAACCTTCTTGAAGTCTCCTCTTTCTCTGCCTCCTTTTGGAGAAATATAAGGACAAGTTTTTAGCTGTTTGGATTAACAAATGACTATAGTCGCATGAGAAACAGCTCAAGCTTGAGAGTCTCTAAAGCAGTGGTTCCCAACCTTGGGGTTGCAAACCCATTTGAGGTTGCAACGATAAAAAATGGGGTTGCAAAGACACTCAACAGTCTTGACTGATTATAGTGAATACGTTTCCTGTTTGTAAATATGCAACTCCTGCACATGGCGATTATTTGTCCACACAAGACAGTTGCAGCTCCGACGCAAGGCACTTGTATGTTATGGGAAGCTGACGTAAAATCAGTGTATTGATACCGGCTGACTGAAACATGTTTTACACGACAGAGAAATCTAACATGGATGCTTTTCCCCAAAAAGTTTCTGCTTTGAGCTCTAGAAATAAAACTAATGAGAAGGATGAGAATGAGAAATGAAAGGAACGCAAGACATGAAAGTGGAAATTTGATAAATCATTCCTTGTTGATTTTGTTTGCATCATTTTGAGATCACAAAAAATTTCCAGTGTTTAAATGGAGTCATGCTGAGGAAAAGGTTGGGAAGCCCTGCTCTGAAGCTTTCATTTTGGTGCTGGACACCCATCTCTGTGCAGGATTGCCTGCTACTTTATCAAATCAATTGTAACATAAGATCAGACTCTGTCTGGTGCAGCTGCCACCAGTGAGGCAGTTATGCTAGTTTCTTACTAACTTGACCACCTCAATCATGCACTGAACTTACAATTATTGTTTTATATAAAAGAAGCAAATTATTATTGACACATGTCTCTGATACTGCCATCCATATATCTCAAAATGCATGGTAGGCTGCATTTCATTACCTTTACTTGAATGTCTACTTTTTACTACAATAAATGTGGCTAAAGGTACTTTCTGAACAAAATAATAAAAAATGGTAGCATAATATAAGAACATGCTTTCAGTTTCTCTAACCATAACAAATGTGTTTATAGAGCATGAGATTCTGTATAAAATAAAGACCAACTAAAATACACTAACATTGTAGTAAAACCCATCATTTTTAATATAAATGGAAGAAAATAATTTAAGTGCTCTTCCTCCTTAGCTTCAATTGCTACTAACTCAAGTCTGGACCTTTCTTTATATCATTACAATTTTATTAGGATTATTATTAAAACAAAACAACCAGCAGAATAATTTCAGTACAAACCAAAGAACCATGACCTTAAGCCTTCCTACTTCATCCTCTTCAGCATAATTATCAACTCCAAAACAGAGAATAGAGGGAATTGGGGTTTACCAATGTGAATGTGTATTAGCTAGTCCAGTGGTGTCCTTCTCAACTGGTGTGGGGAAAGTCTGCAGATGGGAGCCAGAGTGTAGAGCAGCATCACCTGGCCCATGGGACTGGAATTTGGCAGCAGCAGTATTAATTGCTGGAACTCCCAGAGCTGGGATACCTGCTGTTTTGCCCACCCCCAGATTTCCAGTCCCTGGGCAGCCCTTTAGGCCTGATGACATGGCTCTTCCAGATTCAGCCCACAGGGTCTGGAAACTTAGATGCAGGACAAGCAGTGGCAGTGTTAATTGCTGCAGCTCTGGGAACCACAACAATTAACACTGCCACAGCTCACCATGCTGCCAAATTTCTGGACCCATGGTGAGCCCTGTGGTCTGGATGGCATGGCTCTTCAGGCCAAATCTTGGTCACCCCTGGGCTAAGCCACTGAGTTTTATAATCAGGAAGCAGCCATGAACTACGTGACAGTTTGACATGGATGACTGTCTGCTGCAGCCTTGATGAAATCACAAAATGCATCCTTACTTGTGGTCTCAGCTGAAAGTCTTGAGACATACACAGTCCTCTGTACCTCTTATTATCACTACTGTGTATTGCAAACATAAGATTTTGCAATCTCTGCAGAGCCTGTTCAGAGAGGATGCAGGATGTTATTTCCCCAGATATTGGGCTTTGCTTATGAGTTTGTGTTGGCTCTGAAATGCCTCGTAGGAAGAATGATTTATTTTAAGCGTGCAGAATCCACTGTGAAATCATTTTTGGACTGTCATCTTTGCAACACCAGAAAAAACAGCCACCTTATCAATAATGCCTGCATTTGGGAGTCAGTAAGCAGGGGAAGTCTATAATTACATGTCAGAACTGAAGTAAGCACCAGACACTTTAATCTGATTTTTAAGGAGCAAAAAGCTTGAAAAAAATCCACAGTTCATCTTGTGTAGACTTTGCAAACAAGAAACAGGAATTTGGGGGAGTTAGGTGTGTTAATGCTTTTATTCTAATAACAAAATAACACTTGAATGCTTGTCAGCAACCTGTCTCTAGTGGGTTATGGAATAGAGAAAATCCCACACAATTTACTGATTCGTTTTGATGCACTGGCTGGGGGAGTAGTTAGCTGATTGCACGATTTCACAATGATTACACACTTAATTTATACAACACAATTTTATTTTAAAACTCTTTGCTACATATATAACACTGCTTAGCTTTAAGAAACACCACAAACATTAAGAACACAATAACTACATATATCAGAAACAATGCTCCGAATGCACTTCCTTCCCAAACAATGCTATAAGAATTAGTGTTACAAAAACAACTACAATTACAACTAAAAGTTAAATTTGAATCAGTACTGTTATTTTTCATAATATACTTACAATCCTAGAATTCCAAGAAGCTAAATACCAAAATATGTTTTCATTCCTCAGTAGTACAATTTAATGGGTTGGCCTCAGTAGTACGGTTCAATGGGCTCGCCTCAGCAGTACAATTCAATAGGCTGGCCTCAGCAATACGATTCAGTGAGCTGGGCTCAGCAGTGATAGGACTAAGTCCCCTTCCTTCAGTCCCTTTCGGGCGCTCTGCAGCTTCAGCGTGAACTAAGAAATTCGTGTTCACGGAGAGGGTGGTTCAGGTGATCAGTCTGATCCGGCCTACACTTGCGATTCTTCCTTTGTTGTTCTGCAAGTGAAGTCACCTCCAAATTGGGACAGTAAGTTACAGTTTTTATTGAGCGAGCTGCCATCTATCGGCTCCTCCTACTCAACCTGTCATTACCCCCAAATTTGGACTCGGATCTTACTCAACAGATTCTTTTGAAATTACTTTTGGGAAACCTCCATATCACTGCAAATGCCCTTTTCTTACCAATCTTTCCAAAAGGCCCTAGGGTTTGATCTCTCGGAACTCAGGATATTTGCTCTCTTTGTAAAAGACTTCTAAAGATAAAATTTAAATTAAGACTTTAAGCAAAGTCAGGACCTTTTGCACGTAGTCCCAAAATCAATGACTTAGATAAGGAGATAAATCTTATCTTCTTCCTGAAACTGGCTAATGGGCAACCTTTACAAACATTCAAACTATTTCATTCAATATGACACAACCATACAGCAATCAACCCTAGTGTCTGGTAATGAAACAAAGGTCTTTTGTGGAGGAATCTGATGTCAAGGAGGGAATTGAACGAGTTGAAGACTTCATTTCTATCCTCTTTGAAATGTAGCTTTTTGTGAATGTTTCCTGTGAAAGAGACAAGAAAACGATGAATTCTGATTGCTGCAATCTGGTAATTTTGTGTCCTTATTTTGTTTCAGTCACTATGCAGCAGGTAGCCAGGACAGTGGCAAAAGTGGAGCTTTCCGACCATGTGTGTGACGTGGTGTTTGCTCTCTTCGACTGTGATGGTGAGTGATTTTCTTTTTTAATTTATTGTCACCCCTATTCGTATTCCCAATATGTTGCATAATTTATGAATATTTTTTAAAAACCCTCAAAGAAACAAACTATGTACAGCTCTGTGTTCATTTCAGGAATGTTTAGAAGCCATATGTTGGGTTATGTTCAACAGACTTAGCAGCAACAGAATAATAATCACCATTTTGCACCTGATAAAGCAGAGAGATACTAAAGGTAGCATTGGTAACCAGAGGCAGTCAAAATGATTGATTAAAATTTGGAGATTCTTTTCACTTAGCCTAACTGGATTTGGGGGGTTGTTTTGTTGATTTTTTTTCTCTCTGCTATGATTTTCATTTCTTCTCTCCAGGCTGGCCTATCCTGGCATGATTATCCATTTTATGGTAGTATTCATTGTTCCTTTCACATTCCATCACAGTGTGGTCTGTAAAATGTATGCATCTTTCCAGAGGGTTTCATTCATGGCGCACAGTGCTCCTTGAAGGTTTTCAAACATCTAGTTCAGCAGTGTTTATTGTGTGAGAGACTTTTGCATGTCAGATTTCTGGATGGACAGCTTTCTGCAGAGAAAAAGCAGCTTACCTTCTTTTTGCAGAAACAATAGTCATTTAACAAAACTAGCAATTATGGTCTAGTGTTGGTAATAAAAATATTTAGCATTTGCATTGTCAAAGCTCTATACAAACATTAGCTAATTAATGACAGGAATAAGCATTACCATCCAGGAATCCTGAAAGTTAATCCCAAAAGCCTGCTTATGCAGAGGCTAGAAGCACTTCAAGGTAGCAAACTCATCATGTCACAGTCTCAGGTTGATTAATAAAAAAAATTACAGGATTAAAAAAGAGTTTTCAGCTGTCTAGGATGATGGCTACAATGCACCTCAAGAGTAGGACCTGGAAGAACAGTCAATGAACAAAATGTCCGTCTTTGAAATTACTGTATCATTTGCAGCCCCTTCCTTCTCCTTCCCCTCACTTCAGCTTCTTCACACATTTTTTACTTTTGAAGAAAATTTGAATTGCTTCTTTTCAGTGGTTAAACAGATATTTCTGATTCAGTCCTAAAACCACATGTTAGGATTTGAGATTAGAGTGAATTGGCATGTATCCAAACCTACTCAATTTGGATATTCCCAGGAAAATCTGAGAAATATTTTGATGTCATACCTTGTGGGGAAAATACTCCTACACTCAGGGAAACCTCTCTGCAAATATAGGATTGTAGCAAAAAAAGTAAACACAGATCTCTATTTTTCACTTGGCCCATATATGCAGACATTTCTAGAAAGGTATCAAAAATTTGCAGAGCTGTAAGAAATTTCATTTTCCCCCTGATACTTTACTGGAATTTCTTTGCCCACATTTGCAGTTGAAAGCAGTCCAAAAAAACCCACCCAGATCAAAAAATACTAATTTATTAAACATGTAACTAATGTGGTTCCTAGTGCCTGCCAGAGAGATGTTATCTGTTTTGATCTGGAAAATATTATGGAATTTAACTGGTTCATTGTTTGAAGAATAAATATAGCTGCTGATGTTTCTTACAGACAGCAAGCTTGGATGGTAAACGGGTGACTTGGGGGTGAGCGAGGGAGTGCAGAAGCAAGGACACTATCCCAGTTTTATAAGGTTTACAGTTGCAGCCTATTGGAAGTAGTTTGGTTTGCTTTCCTGTGAAATTACATGGAAGTTAAAGTTTAATGATGCTGAAATAAGAAGTGGCTTACAAATGGGGAAAAAAAGATTGTGTCAAGTTTACACAAGGATCAAAAAATAAATATAGCATCAAGACACTATTTTTAGAAACAATCCTGTGGTGGGGGGGAAGGGAGTTTGTTACTTTTCCATGAAGTAAAAAAGTTGCAGAATGACTTATATTTTCATACTTCTCTCAGTTTGAAAATCCTCTTAAACCTATCTGAATGAGTAATAGCTTCCCTGATAGAATGCTACTGGGGCCGTTTGCTCTGTGTATCAAGAGAACCAAAGCAAGGTAGTTGAATACCTTTAATGGTATTATTATTTTTTAGATTAGAGCTTTTAAAATCGGGATGGCCATCAATCTTTGCTGTCCTTTGACTATTTCTTGGTTTTTGTACTGAGCAAGTGTGGAAAAGCCTGTACAATGAAGACACAATTAGGATGAGACAGCTTGCCTTTTAAATGATAGGTAAGGACGAGGGAATAAGCTCCAAGGATAGACCTGTCAAGAATCCTTTTTCTTTCTTTATCAAGAGGTCCTGGGGAAACAAACATCGGCCTACAAAATTACCTGGAAGCTAGACAGGGATTTCAGGGATTGTATACCAACCAATTAATTGAAACAAAAAGGCAATGCATCATGTTGTGTGTCTGACTCAGGTTTGTAACCATCCTTTCAGAGTCTGTTAGCATATTCATTATAAATCCAAGCCACTATAATTTATTGTGAAAACTGACTTTGAAATAAAACTTGGCAACTTTTGGCTTTGCATACATATATTTATAAAATAATATAAATATAAATTTAAAAAGCATTCAATTTTTAAATTACTTCAGTGAAGCCTCCACAAGAAATATCCATGTTCACAATCAACTCAGACTCATGCTTCTGATTTTATTCTAGACATCTAACATTGAGTATTCTTTTTTTTAGCGTCTTTCCTTTAACTACTTTTCCATCTTTGTAAATTTTATTTCTCATCTGTGCAACTTTTCCACCTTTAACACCTCAAATGTCAATCCTGTATGAAAAATATAACTGCAGGATAAGATTGGATTTCATACAGGACCCTCGATTTCTTTGTGCTAAATTCATCCAAACTCTATAACATGGCATCATGAATGAAATCAATATATATCTTTACACAGCAACTGGAACTGAACAAATACAGCTGTTCAGAAAACTTCTGTCCAAACAGATTTTTTTCATTAGAAAAAGGTGTTTTGACTAAACTATTCTTTTTTCACAAAATCATATTGATTTTGACAAATTCCTCTGAGGGGAAAAATCAGAAATAACGTTGAAATTAAAACATTTTCCAAAGTTAGAATTTTTCTTTTATCTGGTTTTCATTTTTTTATTGTACATTATTTCCCAGCAATCTGTAGTGTTAGCAGTGGTCATGTAAAAGCTGCTATTGTTTTCCTAAACCAGTTGTCTCAAAACTGCATTTTTGTTTGGAATTTGTTTCACATGAAGTTTTGAAACAACTGTTTACTCCAGTTTGAACTGGAGCAAACAGTTAACTTTTGAATTTTTTCCTGAAACAGAAAATTCAAGTTCCAGCTAGTTCTGTAGACAAGTAGATGAATTGTATCTATTTTAAACATTTCAAGGTCCTGGTAATGTGTTGCTGGATGTAGTATGCTGCTTAGCATAGGTATATGAAAACTCTGCTGAATTATAAATGATCGCAGATGGGCGACTTTGCAGTGTCGGGGGTTTTGCCATCTGAGTTTCCTGCACACCCAAATTAAATGCAAGATTTCTATTGTTGTTATGGAAAAAACTTAGACCTTTGGAAACAAAGTTGTTGAATCTGTCATTGAAACTATGACAGCTCCTTCTGTCATGTATTTGGTTGGTGAACATTGCATCTCTAAGCCTTTTATTAGAATAAACCACAAAGTAAACATTTTTAAAACCAGTAATTATTTCAGTTAATAATTGGGGGTTGCCTGGGAAGAATATGACATTGTAATTGGCAAGAGAAAGAATTTTTTTTTTAATCTGCTATTTTGCTCATCGAGTCGTCCTGAGAGGTTACTGTAAGGAAAAACATAGCTCATAATTTATAAACTCCAAATTACATACGAAATTAATTTAAAATACAGTGTCAGAGCCCTCTCCTGGCACTCACCATCATGTTGGAAAGAAGTGCTATTATGACACCAGAAATACAATGGCTGCCAGCAAGCAGCTCTGAAATGTCCATTTAGTTAAAAGTTTTAGCTACAAATACAACTAAGTTTGTACATTGCCAACATTTGATCTTTCAGGAGACTGAAGCAAAACATGAGCCACTTTGATACCTTTCTTTGAAGGAAATCAAGCTTTTGGCTCCAAATATTTCTAGGCTTCTTATTTTTGTACTCTTAATAATTTTTTTCTTTTTCTTCTCTTAGGAAATGGAGAGTTGAGTAACAAGGAGTTTGTTGCCATTATGAAGCAGCGACTTATGAGAGGCTTAGAGAAGCCCAAAGACATGGGATTTACACGACTCATGAGGGCAATGTGGAAATGCGCTCAGGAGACAGCTTGGGACTTCACCATGCCTAAACAATAACCACAGGTAGTGGAAGAAGCTGGATTACAGCATGCCGACGGGGCCATGCATCTACCTGTGCTGCTCTGGCAATATGTCATGCCATCAAGTCAGGTGTTCTGCAGATGAATGTTCATCATGAAGATATCTCCTGGATGACAACAGACTCATTGCTACACTGAATTAGAAAGAAACAAAGACTGTTAACTGAGGTTTCTCTAAACACCTTAATGGAAATTGAAGCCTACTGTATCTTTTATCTTGCCAGTGCTTTTGCCTCCGTGATATTTATCTCTCAGGAAAATGACAAAGTTAATTATCTCTGTGTATTGCTTTGCTTCTATGCTATAGTCTGCATCCAACAAACCTAGGGTATTATGTAGAACGTAATAGTGCCAGAAAACAACATTGGTCAACAATGCAGTTAAGTGCATCAAACAGTGAGAGAAATGCCTAGCATATCTAAGAACAGATCTTAGGTTGCTGCTCCCAAATTACTTTTAGTTTTTAATTTTAAGTATTATTCACTAAACACTGTTTAGATTATCCTTTGACCTTTGTGCAAAAGCCATGGGATTTGTCGAAGGTAGATTTAATCTGTATTTATTGCTGAAGTTGTTTGTAAGAAAGGCAGTAATAAGGGTGAGAGTAGAACCTCAGAACTTTCTCAGACCTGATTTTTTTTCCCATGAGATGAGGTTTTATCTCACGGGTTTGTGTGAAATGAGGAGGGTGTGCGTGCCCCATGACAGTTGTTGCCTTTTATATAAGAAGTTAAGAATAATGGCTTTTTTTTTTCTCCTGGCTTTTTCCTCTATCACAAGAATCTTACAATGCCTAAGCACCTGCACATATATGCCCTTTGTAATTCTTTTTTAATAGGAGACTTCTTCCCCTCTGGGATTGTTCTTTTGGACCCAGCACATTGGCTTAAAAATGTTAAGTGAATGCCTGACTGCTTGTAAAATATGGCTTTAATTATACTGGTTCACAGCAAAAGCAAATATTCTTATTTCACTTATTTTATGGAAATCCTTGTGACTTGTAGCAGTTTGATTTTGCATTGGCAGCAAGCCCATAAAAAGGGTAATTTCTGCTGAAAATGAATGCCTCCTAAAAATACAAGAAGTAAACACAACAGTTTCAGAGAAGGTTGGAGTTGTGGGGTTTTTTCAGTTATTACTCGCAGGTAAATATTCTTGCTGTTTTGAATGGATCCTGCAAGAATTTTTACATAGTGTTTAGCCAAAAAGAACCCTCAACAGTACTCATTAAAGAACTGCCTTTCATCCCCACACCTCCCACTATCCCAGCTGGAAGCAGTATTGGTCTTGAGGCTAATAGCCAAATCAACACTTGCTTTGTGGACTGTCACCAGGCCTTCACCTGTGGGTTCCATCTCACTTTATTGACTTTCACCCAGAATTTTTGCTTCCTGAAAACAAAAGTCTATCCTCTCCAAAGCAGTGTTGAGGGTAGCATTTCTTCTGCTTCTGTCCTGAACCTTCCCCTCCTCTGTAATATCAGCCTGTTCCCCAGAAGCAGTCTGAAGGGCAGACTGACTGAGGCCTCTTCCACAATTAGCAACTAAGGCAGGGCTGGGCAAAATACATCCTGGGAAACAGATCTGGCCTGCCAAAAAATTTTATCCAGGCTACAATGGGTGTCTCGGCCCCTCCCAGCCCAGGCACAGGGGGCAGCCTAGACTATGACATGTGCGGCTGGTCCTGCCAGTAGAGGTGCACTGAGTCAGCTGGCCCTGACAATCTACACCTCAGGGTACTCCAGGAGCTGGCGAGCATCCCCCCCCAGCCACTGGCACGGATCTTTGAAAACTCCTGGTGCTCTGGTGTAGTGCCCAAAGACTGGAAGTAGGCCAATGTGGTGCCTATCTTCAAGAATGGGAGGAAAGTGGATCCGGCTAACTATAGGCCCATCAGCCTGACTTCTATCCCGGGGAAGATCTTGGAAAAGTTTATTAAAGAAGCCATCTTTACTGGACTGGCCGACACCAACATCCTGAGGGATAGCCAGCACGGGTTTGTTGCAGGTAGGTCTTGCTTGACCAATCTCATTTCCTTTTACGACCAGGTGACCTATCACCTGGACAAGGGAGAAGAGATTGATGTTAAATATCGTGTCTTCAAAAAAGCCTTCAATCTGCTATCCCATGATCACCTCTTGGTGAAACTGGCCAATTGTGGCCTTGGGTCCTCTGTGATCCGCTTGCTGGGAAATTGGCTCCATGGTCGGACTAAGAGGGTGGTAATTGATGGAAGTCAATTGTCATGGTGCCCTGTAACCAGTGGGGTCCCCCAAAGCTCTGTCCTTGGACCCATATTGTTCAACGTCTTCATTAATGATGTGGACACTGGAGTCAGAAGCGGACTGGTCAAGTTCGCCGATGACACCAAACTTTGGGGCAAAGCATCCACACCTGAAGACACAAGGGCGATCCAGGCTGACCTGGACAGGCTCAGCAAATGGGTGGGCGAGAACCTGATGGTATTTAACACAAAAATGCAAGGTTCTCCACCTTGGGAAGAAAAAC